TCTGAATGTCAAAAGACTTTAGGTATGATTTTTAAGCTCTTTGAATTATGAATGAAGACTTCAGGCATGTAATAAGTAAGGCAATAAAGAACAACTAGTGTTGTTAAACAAAAAAAAAAAAACTGTCCTTGTAAACCACCAAAATCAGTATACACACACAAAATGCAGAAGTGGACTTGTAAAGAACTCTACTTGACAGCTCTCTTTTCTCAAACACACTCGTTTGTCTGCGCCAGTAGTCGAGCACAAACAAAAAGAACAATGTTTTGTTTGTGCCGCATTGTTAACACTCTTCAGGGGGTTCGGTCTATGAATTACTTATACAGTAGTTGTCTCTGCAAGTTAAACTGCTGCAGAAAGAAAGATTTTAACATTTAAAAATAGCATATGCCACCTTTAGAATATTTCTGAGAAACCTTGCGCTGGGAAAATGATTAATTTACTGGAAAAGAATCTTAATGTGAGATATGCTTTACAAATTCATTGTAACAGTGCACTTGCGGTATTATGGCTGACATTCAGTTGAACGCATTTGGCAGATAAGGCCTCCAGAACCCTTAGTGAGAGCTTTTCTGTGTGAAACAGCTGCTAATCGACTCTAAAGAGGATTGGAGCTCACATGTGGAGTCACATTGCTGTAGTAACGTCACTTTAAATGTGTGCATATGTGAGGGAAAATGTGTGTGTGAGAGACAGTATGGTAGAATATGATAATGGAGGTCTTAATCTGAAGCTTGAGGTTGACACTTTCGGGATTAAAGAGGGGAGTTTTAGATCAGCCGTCACGTGATGTATTGTTAGTGAGGCGTGAGATGACATCTGCTTGTGGTCTTGTGATCGCCTGCTCTGTAATGATAACCACTGCTCTCAATCACATCAGCTGATCACATCACATGCATTCTGCTACCATATATCCATTTCAATAGTTGTTTGTTCCCTCTTTTGTCCTATGGGAAATGTTTCATTATTTAATTATGAAGAAAGTTTCATAATTATGTTTATTTGTTCTCTCATTTATTCCCTCTTAGGTGAGGTGTGAGGTGATCGTGCTACCCACTGCGCCACCCCGTCACCCAATCATCATTCATATTTTTATTCTTATTTTACAGTTATTATTCTAAATAATAAATAAGAGAATTTGGAACTGGAAACAATGTAAAGAGACAACTTGAGTGATATGTTAGAATCACCCAAGAAATCTTTTGAGCGGCGTGTATTTAATCACCATTCATGTAATAATAATAAATAATAATTCCTTATATTTATATAGTGCTTTTCTAGACACTCAAAGCACTTTACATATGAGGGGGGAATCTCCTCATCCACCACCAGTGTGCAGCATCCACCTGGATGACGCAACGGCAGCCATATTGTGCCAGACCACACATAAGCTGATTGGTGGAGAGGAGTTGATGAAGCCAATTATGATATGAGGATGATTAGGAGGCCATGATGGCAAATTTGGGTTGAACCCCTACTCTTTATCGAAGAACATCCTGGGATTTTTAACGACCACAGAGAGTCAGGACCTCGTTTAACGTCGGAACTCACTGAGCAGTATAGAGTCCCCTTCACTATACTGAGGCGTTAGGACCCACACAGAACACAGGTTGAGCACCCCTGCTGGCCTCACTAACACTACTTCTGGCAGCAACCTAGCTTTCCCATGTGGTCTCGCATTCAGGTAGTGACGGGCGCAGTCCTGCTTAGCTTTAGTGGGCGACCATGTGAGAGTTGCAGAGAGCTAGCTGCCGACAATGTAAACAAGCAGGATTCACACTGAGAGCAGGAGCAGCACATCTGCATCACTAGCAATGAAATACTATATAAATGTTATTTTAATGTGAAATATTATTGCAAAAAGTTTACTTTTGCAAGTCGATTTTTAAAAAGTCTTTTTTTTTACATATTATAATGCAATTCCTTTTTTTGGTGATAAAGCTAAAATTTAAGCACCATTACCTGTCTGAACGGTCACATAATCCTTCCAAAATCATTGGAAAATAATTATTTTTAAAAACATTATTTTTATCATGTTTAATCATTTTATGTTTTTAAACTGTTTTGCTTTTTTGTATTTATGTGGGTACTATGATAAATTTTGTCTCACAGAATTGTTTAATGAATATAACTTGTTTTATTGTTATATATTCAAACTAGAAAGCAGTTAATTTCAAAATACAATACAAACATAAATAAAATCCTACCGACATCAGACTTTTGATACAAAAAGGTAAATAAAAAAAGACTTTTAAAACAGTTTCACTTTCTTACACAGCATAAAATAAATTGCAGTTTTTAATACTTTGATAAAACAGATCTGAGTGTCTCAGATAACATTAAATTAGACTTGTATTCTAGTCAGCTTACACCATCCCTGTAGCAGGATGGTAGGTGTCCAGCTGGGTTATGTACTCCCCGCCTCTTTCGTTTTATTCTCATCTGGACCTCACGCACTCAGATCCAGGCACAATAAGAGAAGGCTTTGCTTCATTTATAAATCCTGCATTCGGTGAGCTAACATTTCAAATCTCCTCTCTGTTGTGTAACTGCAGAGAAAGGGATTAAAGGCCTTGAAATATCCTGTCTAATCTCCCTTTTGCCCAAACTCAACACCAGGATATATCCTGGAGGCCATGGCTATTATGTCTTGTCTGGAGCACACACACAGACACACAAACACACACACACACACACAGATCCCAGCTGTTTGCAGCACTGGGTGAGTTGGTTGAGTCCTCTGTAATGCTAAGCAGCTGTGGTTTGGGATTTGCCCAGCGATGTGTTAGAATTGGACTGGGCTTGACTCTATAGTCTGGCCTGTGCTGAACAACATTGATCTATTCTGGCATTCAGCAATGGCTCTCCATAACTCACACATAACACAGCAACTCAGAGCCAGCTGAGGAGATAAGAGGGACTTAACCCATTTAAACTGTCATTAATTATGACAAACAGAGAATTTCTCACCATTATTAGATTACTGAAGAGGCTCCAGAAGTTAGTTTGCCGAGTTCTCGGGATTTCCATCTGCTCTATTCAGGCAGGCCCAAAAAATATCAGCACTCTTTGAGAAATGGCTCAGAACCAATCCTTTCTCTTCCCCCTCTTCATTTGGAGACGCCTATTGATATTTTTCTGTTGTCATTGAGTATATGAGATGTGAAATGTTTGCTTTATGACTACAGTAAATAGAGTTGTCCTTGTCTGAGGGGGCTGAGAGGATAATGTGTGATTACTGGATGAGGGAATGCTATCAGTGGCTCAAGCTATGCAGAAATATATTGATTTGGTACTAGAGTATATTAATATAGGTTTTTTATGATCCTTGCATTGCAAAGCCATTACAACATAACATGGCTGTTGAATACTTGATTCTTAGGTGATGAATATTCTAAGGTGTGCAGTTATTTTCCAATAATTTTCCAATAGTCTATGGTCTTTAGACTCCTTGTTAGAGCAACCGACTCCCATACAAAGGAGTTGCTGGTTCGATCCCAGCTTGAAACACGTTGGGTGGTGTAGGCTCGGTGGGCTTACATAGACAAACAGCAATACCGCATAGAAAAAAGTGCAGTTTTGAAAATACCTGTGTTAGTGTGTGCAGGGCCTAAAAAACAGGATTCGCCATTCCTAAGAATGCAGGTGCAAACATTTCTGCTGCTTAAGAACAAGTTGGGTATATGGCATAGATTGTTCTTAGAAAGAAGATTGGTAAATGAAGTCCATTAACTTTAAGGACAGCAATCGTATAGTGTAATAATTGACACATGATATAATAGTACATGTTACATTTTTCAAAGGTCCCATGAAAATGTACAAATGTTGTAAATGCTAGTTTCTGTCTATAAGTTTTAAGGATATCTAAGCTAGTGTGCTCCAAAATAAAGACAAAATATGCATTTAGAAAACATAAAACTGATATAAACAAGTAAAACTAGCAGTTTGTTACTTCCCGAATGGATTAACAATTTTTTTTTTCACGTCACATCATACTTTAGTTTTCCATCAAATCTTGACCAATCAAATGCTCTCTAGTATCTGTCGTGCCCTGCCCCCTTCAAGACGCTTGTGATTGAGCTTAACCACTCTCAATGGCAGAGCTGGGATAAAAACAAAATGATATTGGCTGTTTTTTTAAAGGGGAGGAGCTACTCTATGCCCCACCCTCTCTTCATTTTTTCAGTTGCGATTACATCAAAGATTGAATTCAAAATGCACATTTCGAAGCACTTCACAATTGTCACTGGTGGCGATGCCCCCATCATATATTTGCATATTTAAAATAGGCTCTCTGTGAAATGTTTATTTATAAATAAGTACTTTTAAATGACAACACTGTGATAGTGGCTTCTGTAGAGGATTCATGCTTTACATAAACCTGTCACTGGCACAAGATAAAGTCACAACACAATTGTTTGATTTATTTCATTGTGTCGTCGTGTTTAATAGTATGTAAACCAAGGTCAGAACATAATTTTAGTGTTCAAGGCCCCAATAAACAGCGTGCCATTGTCCTTAAACCTGTCATAACCAAATGACACTCTTGCTTCTGTGAATCCGTAAACCACCTGATGCCCGATTTCACCCTGACAGGTTTTGAGGTGCCTGTTAAATCATCAAGACAGCTTGACAGAACAGAACGCTGTAGGAGGACACAACAGCTCAAAGTGATGACTTATAGAAACGCATTTCATCTTGTGGATGTCCAACTTATGTTTGTAAATCCACATTTATGTTATGATCATGCAGCTTAGACCTTGCTTGAAGCATTGTCACGAATTGTTTGATAGGGGTGTAAAGATGACTAAATAGGGGTTGAAATGGAGGGATGACTTTCAGGGCTCCTCAAAGACTTTGAGTCCCATTTTATTTCAGCTGCCAGTTTTTATAGGAGAGCCATTAAAAATGGATGCCAGGAATTGATTTCTAAATGTGGCTGAGGTGTTATTTATGACGGAAGTCACGCTGGGATTTAATAATTCTCTGCTTGTTCACAGGCACAGCTTCAACATGGTAAACCTCCTCAATGGCAAATCCAACCAAGCAAACCACACAGAGCGGACACCACTTCTCAAGTTCTCCCAAAATGATAGGTGAGTCTATATGGGGGCTTTAAAGTTTCACAGTGTTCTTCTGTTCTCAATTGCTTCAGTGGTTTTCAGTTCTTCAATAAATTTGCTTTCTTGCTCTTATGTTATTTTTCTACTCTTTTTTTATTTAAGAAAGAAAAAGGGGGGAAAAAGAAACAAAGTGATTGTCATAGAGGTTACTGTATCAAATCACAATACATTTGATGCATATTTTCACATATTATTTGCAAAGGTGCTCAGCCCATTTTTTCCAACACTTGTCAAGTCTTAAGTTAAACTTAAGTCTCTCCATATGTACATCTCCTTTGCAATTCCTATCCACTGTATCCTTGTTGGAGGATCAGCCTGAAACAATTTTGGAGTTGTGGCTTTTCTGCTTAATACAAAAAGTATTTGTATTACACTGTAAAACCCAATAAGTTAAGGTAACTCAAACCGTTTGAGGAAACCGATTACTACAAACCATTTGAGTAAAAAAAAAAAAAAAAATCTACCAATCATTAGGTGGGGTAAAAGAGGCACATCATGCGCATGTATTCTGGCAGTGCTCAAGAATGAACAGTTTTTGGGAAACTGTGCACTCCACCATCAATGATATTTTTAACCTTCATATTCCTAAATCATTCAAAGTACTTTATCTAGGAGATATTCCAATTACTTATTTGATCTATTTATTTAATAGATGTTCATTTGAGAAATGGATGTATTTGCATATATACAAGCATATATGCATGTACGCATATATGTATGTATGTATGTATGTACTGTATGTATGTATGTATGTATGTTCATTTTTGCATATATGTTTTATTATTTTGTGTTTGTTTGTTTTGTTACTACTGGTTATTTGTTCCTAAAAATCTATAAAAACTAAGTTAAAAAACGAAACAAAACAAAAACGAATCTATTAATCTACAGAGAACTGTGAACTTACTCCATTTGAAGTAATGAGGTATTTAATTACATTCAACACTGAGTTCAAAACTCTTTTCAAATGATTGGAATTAACTTGCAGTAAGTTTTGAGTTATCTACACTTCATTGGATAAAGTTGATTTGGGTATTTCTCATTGGCTGGAAAAATGTCTGACTATTTCCCAAGGTATAATGAAATTAATTAATAATCCAGTTCTTCTCCATTGCTTTCATATTATTTAACATGAACATTCTACTCTTCACCATATAAAAGGGTATTTATTTGCAGTGCTGGGAAGTTTGTTAAAATATTTAAAAATACTTGCTCTTTAGATAAGTGATTCATAAAGATAAACAACACAATCATAAGTTCAAGGCACTCAAACAGTACGTGATAATATTAAAGCCTTTACTTACATGTCTTCATCAGGGTAGAAATGTTCAGGTCTAATTTAATAAAGTGTAATAATACATTTCTAATTACTTTGTATGAAAAGTAATTTAATCAATATGTAAGTTAATTATTTAGTCAGTACTCCTAAAAGTTATATAAATCTTAATGTCTAAGATTATTAAATGAAACTTTTAAAATGTATTTATATTTGAGTCAAACAGTGCATTTTAGCTGTAAAAAAGAAATGTAATACTTAAAAGAATGTATCAAAACAACTAATGACATACAGTTCTCACCATATATCAGTACACCCCTCACAAATCTTCCATTTAAATGAATATTTTCTATAGAATACCTTAAAATATTACATTTGTGCATATACATTAGATTAATCACTGCTAAAGCCAAATCTGAAGCTAATCTAACAAAATAGTTTATGGTAACGGTCCAACAATTTGTAGTTAAAAATTTGTATCTTAGGAAAAAATAGGTAATATGATTTTTAAAAATTGCAAAAATTGAGAGAAACAACAAAAAACTATTTGTTGAAATTTTGCTGTTTGTAAATTTTTTTTTTTTTGCAATATTTCGCAATAATTTATATGTTAGGGAAAAAAATGAAATACGATTTTAAAAAATAGCAAAAATTGAGAGAAACAAACTAACAAAAATAAAAAAACTGATTTTGTTGAAATTTTGCAGTTGTAATCTTTTTTGCAATATTTCTCATTAATTTAAATGTAGAATCTTTCAATTTTAAAGATGTTCAGTGAATGAATTATTAAATCTGTTTTGTTTAAATGCACCAAAACACATTGCCTATATTCATTTAGAAATGGATACAAATATTAATTTTAAAATGTGGTGTACTCATTTATGCTGAGCACTGTATATACATAATTCAAAATTTTCTTAAGCATGTGCAATTGTTGAACAAGTCTTTTTAACTAATCATTTGACAGCTGTTGACTTGGCATAGTCAAAGAGGCTCTTGCAGAACAGCCATCAATACCTGATCTCTGCAATTACTGACCCTGTACTCGTTCACTAATGAGAAAAAATCCCTTTGTGACCTTTGTTTTCAACAATTACTTTATATATTTCCAGGTTGAAGACAAACACAGTTCTTCATTTAATGTATGGCATTATTATTTCCTTGTGGTCTTGACCTCTGTGTATGTCTTAATTAAAGCAAACAGTGCTTGCAGTTCACTATCGTCACTCTCAGCTGTTGAGATATGATTTTCACAGCACCGTTCACTCAACCAGTCAGGAGTGTGGTAATGTTAGCCATGATATTTTAATACCCAGTTTTATATCCATATGTATATTTTATCAGACATTGCTATTAGGTATGTAGGAATGAACTTTAATAGCTCTTGAATAAGTCAATTTGTTTAAGGGGCGACACTGCAGAAAAAAACACTTTTTATTTTTTCTTTAAGTGTCACGTTTTAATTACAATATGTATTTTTATAAATATAAATCTCTGAGCCATAAATCTACACTTCAGCAGCACTTACCTTCACAGTTTTATTCATATCTAGGCTATATGAGGATATGGATGATAAGGATTTGTTTATATAATATTTCTGATTAGATACAATGTTTTATTCTACAAAACAAATCAGATTTTTTGTTCTTTCTTGCTGTGACTTGGAAAAAAAACTTCAAAAAAAAAGTTTTTAAACCTTTTAAACTTCATCTAATGTTTATAATTTAGTCCTATGCATATATAATTGCATTTTTCTTTTGTAAATTTTAAACAGAATTTATAAAAAGCTGTAAATGTTTATTGTAATGATTCAGCTGGTGATGAATGCTATTTTTTTTTTTGCCATCTTAACCTGCAGTGTCTTGCCTAAACGCAGTTTTTTTTTTCAGCATTTGTCCTTGATTCACTCATGCATCCCTGACAGAACTCTAAAGCCAGCGATTATGTAACAATATTTGAAGAGGCATACGCATAAGGATTATACCTGAAATTAATTTTGTTGGGATGACATTGTCCTCTTCAGTGCTAAATATTCCTGTTTTCATGAGATTGCATTTCATCTTTCATTGAGTAACACTTGAATTATCATTGATAATAGAAATTCTAGTGTAACCAGACGCAAGATTTTAATGCATCAATTGTTTGTCTATGTATGAAAACTGCAACTAAAGTTTTTCTCAAGAGTCAGGGGCCTAAAAATGAGTAAAAATGACAGAAAAACAAAAAAGCAAACAAACAAGCAAACAATAATAACAAAAAAGACTAAATATAAAAGTATTAAATTAAGCAAAAAATTTATAAATTAAAAGTAAGCTAAGTGAATAAAGAAAGAAAACACAGATGAATAAAACAAATATCAAGTTGTTTTTAATCCATACAAAATATACATTTTTACTCCCTTGAAAGCGCAAATCATCTCAGACTGGTTTCTTGAACATGACAATACTCAAATGGCCTTCAGAGTAACCAGATCTCAATCCAAAAGAGCACCTTTGAAATGTGGTGGAACGGGAGACTCGCATCATGGATGTGCAGCCAGCAAATCTGCAGCAACTGCGTGATGCTATCATGTCAATATGGACCAAAATCTCTGAGGAATAATTCCAGTACCTTGTTGAAAGATTAAGGCAGTTCTGCAGGCAAATAGTATAAACCTGTAGCTATGAGTATAAAAGTGCCTACATAACTGTGGATTTTTTGACTTGATTATAAGCGGCAAGATACATTATTCCAGCTGAGTACACTGTATCATCGCTAACAGCATTAGCATTCTGCTCATTGCTTAACAGAGGCAATAGATGGAGGCAACTGATAGCAAGCAGCCATACAAGCTTTATGAAAACAGCTACTCTTTGATCTCGGAGGACTGTTTTGATGACACAGAGCAGACTACGGAAGGCCCACCTATTGTTTATAATAATTGTTTATAAAAAACTATTTTCTGAGAAAAATTTAAATGTTCAACACAATACACTGCCTGGCAGCAAAAAAAGTTGCTGTTTGGATTAAAGTATTCTTCTTCTGAAGTATTACTATTTAAAGTATTCGTCTTCTATTTAAGGATCATGGAGGCTACTGTGCTCTTAGGAACCTGAAGTTTTTGGTAACCTTGGCCAGATCTGTGCCTTGCCACAATTTTGTCTCTAAGCTCTCCAGGTAGTTCCTTTGACCTCACTATTCTCGTTTGCTCTGACATGCATTGTGATATGTGATGTCTTATAAAGACAGGTGTGTGGCTTTCCTAATCAAGTGCTATTAATACAATCTGAGTTAAATATATGAGGGTTTGAATACTTTCTTTATCGACTGTATATCTTATGAGCATGCAGATTATAGTCTACAATTAAACTTGTTTAACAAACAATTTAGAGAAGGTAAAGTAATACGCCGCAAAACTACACAGAACCCTGTGGATTTAGAATCAGGTGTAATAAGAGAATATTTGCTATTCACATTTTTTTTTCTTCAAACCAAACATGTGATTATCATCTGCAAAGGTTTAAACTTGTCTGGATTGTGTTCTTTAGCAACACCTCTTGCAAAATGTCTGCACCTTCAAACCATCCTGGTCAAATGATTATTTGATTACCTCTGGAATCCATCAAAAGTTGATAAGCTCAAAACATTTGAGAGCTAATTCAGACTTATATTTAGCTTTGTCCACTTATGGACAGATCATTGAAAATGCAGGTTATTACCAGTTTTGAATGGAGCCAATATAGTTTCAAACAGATTTCCAAGGTCAAACTTGTTCATTTTTCCACTAAACAAATTGTGCTGCACCCAAACTCAGATCATTAGTTAGTGTCTAACTTGTGGTTTTTGTGCAGTATCACCTACATGACTCTGCATGAGCCCAGTCTGGGGTCTGGAGAGGAATCGTGGGAGGCGAGCTCTGCTGAACTGGAGAGAAGGTGCAGGCTGGGCAGTGAGGTCACCAGTCTCTCACACATTACATCCCCGGAGAAGAGTGAAAATTACTTCAAACTCTCTTTTCCCATCAGGTATGAAATACTGTTTAAAAGATTGTGGTCAGTAAGTTATTTTTTTTTCTTAAGAAGTGAATACTTTTATTCAACATCGATGCATTACACTGGTCAAATTTGACAGTAAACTTGTTGCAATTACTTTCTATTTAAAAAAAAACGCTAGTCTTTGCAATTTCTATTGATCAAAGAGACCTGAAACTTCTTTGATATTTAGTTCAATTCATGTTTATATCTATAGCACTTTTACAGTGTAGATTGTGTCAAAGTTCAGTTTAGTTCAGTACAGTGTGGTTTAAATTTCACCGCTGAAAGTCCAAATACTGAAGAGCAAATCCACCGATGCGCAGTTTCACAAGTCCCAAACCAATCAAGCCAGTAGCGACAGTGGTGAGGAACAAAACTTCACCAATTAACAAAAGTGAAGAATATAAAACCTTGAGAGAAACCAGGCTCAGTCGTTTATACAGTTAAAGTCAAAATTATTAGCCCCCTTTTAATTTTTTTTATAGTACATTTAGTATAGTATAGAACATTTTAGTAGGCTGTCTGATAATATTTTTTTCTTCTGGAGAAAGTCTTATTTGTTTTATTTCGGCTAGAATAAGCAGTTTTTAATTTATTAAAAGCCATTTTAAGATTAATATTATGAGCCCTTTAAAGCTATATATATTTTTTGATATTCTACAGAACAAACCATAATTATACAATAACTCTCCTAATTACCCTAACTTGCCTAGTTAACCTAATTAACCTAGATAAGCATTTATTGTCACTTTAAGCTGAATACTAGTGTCTTGAAAATATATCTAGTCAAATATTATTTACTGTCATCATGGCAAAGATAAAAATAAAGAAATGAGTTATTAAAACTATTATGTTTAGAAATGTGTTGAAAAAAATCTTCTCTCTGTTAAACAGAATTTGGCGGAAAAAAAAATAAGCAAACAGGGGGCTAATAATTCAGGGGGGCTAATATTTCTGACTTCAACTGTATATCTGATATTTAGCATCAAGTGGCATCACAAAACACATTTAATTTTAAAACATCTTAAAACAGAAACAATTATTACAAAGTAAGTCAAGCACAACGATTTGTCTGTTATATGCTATATTTATTAAGTGGCAACAAGTACATTACTGTGTTGTTGTGAATAAAAAGCTTCCCCAAAATAAAAATACAACAAAAAATTGCACATTTTTAAGTGATATTTAAAATGTACTTAAAGTCCACGTGGAATCAAAAATTGACAATTGCCCCTTTCACATATTGATAGCAGTAAATATCAGGAATCTTTCCGGAACGAATTTACCGGTGAATTAAAAAACGCTGTTCACACAAGCAAGGATGTTCTTGATTTTTCCAGAAAAGACCATTCACACATCCTTTCCAAAATACCAGTAAATTCCGACATCATTAACCAGAAATGACCTCTAAACAACTACACTTGTATTTGTTAACAAAAAAGGGGTCTGGCTTTTGTTGATGGTTTTACTTTTATTTAAAGCTTTAGCATTCATGCAGCTGCTTTGTCCTAGAGACATTTAAAGGCAGAAGCGCAAACCGCAGCTACTGTTTACAAATCTGACTACATTACAAAATTCTGTGGATGGATAAGTATTGTGAACAACTTTGATCAAAACATATGGAGGGACACTTTTGCATATCGAGATGTACATAATATGTATGCATTGGCACTCACCGGAGCACTCCTTCACAAGCACACACGTAAAGCAACTGAAGCAGAGCTTGTAGGTAAACAAACAGCCGTTTATCAGCATTTTATTGATAATTTTTTACTTAGCTGGCATTCAGAAGGAACACAGAAACGTTCTCTTGTTAACATCTAGCAGCTAAATGTGTTTTGAAAAATAATCAAGGGCTTTTATTTTCATAAACAGCGCGGATGTGAATTCTAAACTTAAATGCACTCTTTCCGGCATTTTTCCTTCTGTGTTTACACAGAGCAGCATTCTGGCAAACTTCTTGTAATGTTACTTCTCTTTCCGGAAAATTGCTAGAACAAATTTACCGGTATTTTCAAAAAGGCCCTGTTCACACATGATCCCTTTCCAGGAAAATTGCCAGTAGTTTACTGAAAAAGTCTGTATGTAAAAAAAAAAGTGTCTGTGTGAAAGGGGCTAATGGATCTTTTGCTAGTGCACATTGATCTTCTTTAGGTGAACGATTAATCCATGCAAGTTAATCCACTGAAAAAAAAAAATTTGTGGTAATCTTTAATCAAATTCTGACCATTGCGTTCGTGTTTGGAGTGGTGGTGCTTCTCTGATGACATCAGTTTGATGGCGTAAACTAAAAGACTTTTAATCTCACCCTTCTTACCGTTAGTTTGCTATAAGGTAATGAGTTGTAAAAAAAAACCCTCATCTACAGTAACTTAAAATTCAGTTTTAGTTGGAAGTACAGCAACATACTGTAATAAAGTCTCAGCAACTTTCAGTTAAAGCTGACTTTTTTCACCCTAAAAAAATCTATTAATTGTTTTCGTATTTTGTGATTCACAAGTGTTTTCCATTTATATATGGTTGTGAATTGCATTATGGAATGTTGATCTCTGCTCCATTGACATTTGATGTTGAAAACTCTGCTCTACAGTTTAACAAAGTGACTTTTATTGACATTTAGTTACAGTAGTTTGAAACTTAATGTATAAGATATTAATAACCTAATGTATAAGAAATAATATAGCAAGAAATACGTCTCTAAAATACCAGAAAATCTACTGGTGGTAAATACAAGGTTTTTGTACTTTACACTGTAAAAAATACAGGGTTCCACACGATTCATTCAAAACAAATAAATTAAGTCAACTTAACAAATATAAGTGGATTGAACATAAAACAATTAAGTTGTCCCAAAAAAATCCCAAACGTTTTGTTGTTTCGGCTCATTTTACGCAAGTATGAAAAAGCAGCAGAAATCATTTGTTGAATGTATTAAACTTAAAGATGTTAATAAAAGTCACTTTTTTCTAACATTTTCAAGGTTAAAAGTAAAGAGAGAAATAAAGAGCAAGGTCCCATAATGCAATTCAAAAGCATCAATATATAAAACATGAACCACAAAATATAAGACATTTCTAATTTATGTATATTATTTATCTGTCTTGTTGTGACTTAAAAACCCTTGCTGTCTACCATTTGATTATAATACAGTGTTTTTTGATTGCTTTCACTGCTTGTCCTTACTAAACCCTGACAATAGTTTTAATGCCAAAAGAGGGTTTGCCCTGGCGCAAGCTGTCATCAAATCTGGCCTCAAAAAGCCGAGAGCTATAGCTTCATAACTCAAAATCAACTCTAAAAGCAACTGTAACTTTTTGGCACATGGCTTTCTTTCTATTGCAAAGTAGATATCACAACAAGTGTCTGAATTTGCTTTTACAGATATTGCCTAGGGATGACAAGACTCATCACCATCTTCGTTATTGTCGTTCTGTGTTCAGTAAGTTCTCCATTAATCAGACCTAATCAACAAAGTGCTTTAGCGTGCATTCTATTGTTTTCAGTCATCTGCCTAAGTGACACTCTAAAATAACTCTATTTATCTGAATCATCAGCTGTTTTTCAGCATGTATCCCGACCGGGAGAGCCCCTGGAGGATGCTGGCGGTCTCATCCACCGAGAGCTTCTGTATCCTCCCCATTTGTGTGTCTTAGAGAGTCTGCATTGTTTCTGTTTGCATTGGCTGGATGAATAGGAGTCATTAATGCACAAGTCAAATAGTATGCTGCCACTGTCTAACGCCTCAGACCCTGCGGGGATTTTCTGTTTGGTCGGGAGATTGCACTGAAGGGCTGCACTAATTCATTTCCGTTTCTGTGACAATCTCGCCATCTGTTATTTACAGCGGCTTGTGTCATGGAAACAGTCTTGCTTATGACTCCGTGCATAACAACAGATCTGCCTGATACTTTCGGCAGACTGTGGGTCCTGTAGAGATGAATGTGAAGAGTGAACAATGCACTGAAGTGATGCAAAGTGCCTTCTGCTGGTGATTGTTTGTCTGAAATTGAAACGGTGGCCGGCTGACGTCTTTTTGACAAAGTTTTCCAAAACACTCCCATTAAAATCTGTCATCATTATCATCCTTCACTTGTTCCAAACTGTTATGAGTTTATTTCATCTGTTGAACACAGAGGAAGATGTTATGAAAAACCTTGGGCATCATTGACTTCCAGTGTTGGTGTAATAAGTAACAAAGTATCTAGTTACTGTAATTACATTATTTTTCCACTGAAAAAAAAAAGCTTTTTTTTTTTTTTTTCATTTTTAGCTCATTTAATTGCGGTTTAAATAATGTACCTGCCTAAATACTAACATCAATTCAACAATTTTGTATAAATCAATTCAGATAAGCAGAATAATTGCATTTTTTGTTGTTTTATTGGCTTTTTTAAACTTAAAAAAATCTACATTTATTAAGACGATTTAATATATTTAAGACAAAAAATAAATTGAGAAATTACATTCAGAGAACCACAGTAAGCTGTGTTATATTTTTTAGTTTTTCTGATATTTGTCACAATTAATTTTTTTTTAAAAATCACAAAAAATCATATGTTTATCTCAGAATTGTTCATGCTTAAGAAACAATGAAATGTTTTATAAAATTAAAGTCAATATATATGTGCAATATGGTTTCATTACTTTGAAATCATTTGAGTTTGAAACATATGTTGTTTTAAGTGTAAGGACCCTATCATACACCCAGCGCAATAAGGTGCAAGAAGTGTTTGGCGCTATTTGTTGCTATTTTTAGACCAGCGCAACCCTAATTTTCACGTTTTGTGCCACGTTGTTTATATAGAAAATCCACTCGTGGGTGTGCTGGTCTTTTTTATTTTATTTATGGCAGTTAGTATTTGTACAATATTATTATTCTTAGCAGTATTTTTTATTAAATGCATATTTACATTTGTTTTAATAAAAACAAATTTAGATATTTCCACTTGATGGGTTTTGGAGATGTATGTGGTTTCATATGTGGCATAAAAATAGGACGCGTGTTTGGATATAACTCAGTTTTTTGACCACACTTTGTTATTATTGTTTATTTATTAATTTGCTGGAAATTTATTTAATTTAGAAACAGTTTTGAAACAAATCTTTGCGCTTAACATATTAAATTATATATGTAGGCTAATGGATATCTTTAGTGGAGCGCATACAACACTGTTTCCTTATCCATGAAAGTAAAGGAGTAATGCAAAGAGAAAGTAAAGGGGCCGAATGGAGGAGGCCCGTTCTTTATCTTCGCGCTGAAGATGGTCTGTTTAATTGTTTTCTCGCTACTGAAGTATTTTGTTTTTTCACTTGCAAAGTCCGCCATTTAAATATGAAATGCACTATTGGGCGACACATCTGACCCTTAAAGGGAATTGTAGATGAGACACTGATTGGTTTAAAGCATGTTATGCTCAAAACACACATATAACTCTTTAAGAGAATAAACACTACCCTTCCGTCCTTAAAAAAGTGAATTTGGAGATGCCCTTAATGCTTTAGCACCATGTGCTTTAAATTTTGTGCATAGATCATTAAAATAGAGGCCTAAAGTGTTATTTTTTTAAAACAAAACTTAATGCTTTTGTTTGCCTCAATTTTAAATAAATAAAGTTTAATTTCTGTTGACTATGTCTATTGTTCAAGTGGGTTTTTAGAATTGAGGCAATAATTAAATTACTCTTGAGTATCTAAGTTACTTTGAGACAAAATAGTTCGAAAAGGGTGGCACGGTGGCCCAGTGGTTAACGATATCGACTCACAGCAAGAAGGTCCCTTGTTTGAGTCCTCATTGGCCCAGTTGGCATTGTTGTGTGGAGTGTTTGCTTGTTCTCCCTGTGTTTGCACGGGTTTCCTTCGGGTGCTTTGGTTTGCCCCACATGTCCAATGACATGCATTATAGTGAATCAGATAAACTAAATTGGCCATCGTGTATGAGTGTCTGTGTGAATGTGGTTGTATGGGTGTTTCCCAGTACTGGGTTACTGCTGGAAGGGCATCTGTCGTGAAAAACATTTGCTGGAATAGTTGGTGGGTCATTCCGGTGTGGCAACCCCTGATAAAAAAGGGGCTAAGCCGAAGGAAGGAAATAAATAGAAAAGTAATTTGAATACAATTTCAGTGTAAGACAATGGTGTTCATCAGCTAGAAGTAGAAGTCATTGGTGACCGATAATACTAAAGTGAATTACTCCAGTGCTTGATGGATATTTTGTGTCGTGTATTTTCATTTGGAAGTTTTTTCTTAACCTAGCTGATCACCGTAGCCATGAATCTTACTGATTTTCGTGACAACTCCTTGCTGAAGTTGCAAGTCGGTGGGCCATTTTTGGGAGGGATGGAGGCTGTGCAAGAGTCCCAGGAGTATATTCTCATCCAGGTGGAGCAGACTGAGGAGGCCGGGCCTCGCCGGAGAAGAACTCAGCAGGTTAGATGCATTTCAGCACAGCCAAAAAGATCAATAATGCAGATTCAGCTAATGTTAAATGCAGTTTGACAGTTAATAAGATGCTTTTCACCTCAGTTTACTGTATACATGATTTCCATTATGTATTGGAAACAACTTTTTGCCTTCATTTTAAAACCATATATTTATTGCTTCATATTGTTTTTACACTTAACTTGAAAAGTGTGTTTGTTTATGCTTTAATTAAAATTATTTGGGGTTAGTAATGTTTTCAGCTGTTCTGGATTAGTTGACATTAAAATGTAGTCATATAGCAAATACTTTTGTCCAAAGTGACTTACAATTGAGGAGGCATTCAACGATTCAACAAGAAGAGGCAATACATACAAGAAATGGTAATTGTACAAAGGAACTTTTAGTGCTCAGAGCGTAAAGGGGAGTGTTTTTATTTTTTAAGAAAGAGAAAAGTGTTTTTACAGGCGGTTTGTCAAGCCCTCTCATCAGTGTGAAGCACTTCATAAATTCAGTTTTTTAATATATAATAATGTGTCCAGTGTAAATGTACAGAGGGACTCTTGTGCAAATGTAATCAAACTTAAATAAAACAGTAAACTTGTGAAATATTGCCGTTTGAAATTAATTTTTAAAAATATTTAATTTGAACATATTTTTTCAGCAATTATCTTAACATGCTGATTTAATGCTAAAGAAACATTTAATATTGGTTTCAATGTGGAAAAAAGTTATGCTTATTAAATAATATTTTATTATTCATTTGATTTGGTTGATTTGGCTTTGATCCTTAGGTTTAGTCCCTTATTTTTCAGGGCTCGTCACTGTGGAATGCACCGCCTATATTATAATATTCATTCATTCATTTTCATTCGACTTAGACCCTGATTTGTCTGGGGTCACTGCAGCGGAAGGACCCGCCTAATTTATTTTATTTATATTTATTTTATTTTATTTTTTTTATTTTATTTTATTTTATTTTATTTTATTTTTGTTCAAAATGTATTGAAAATAAATCCCACTTAGTTTCACATGTTGTTATATTGTTATAAGGTTTAGCTCATAATTGTCTAAGCTTTTTATTATTCATGTAGTATATGAAATCTAAAAACATTACATTAAACAAACAAAAAAAAACAAAACTTTTTTCTCTTATGTATTTATTCTAAACATTCACAATGTTTTCTTTTCAACAGGTGCTGTATAATTGGACCATACCACTGCACTCCCAGCGAAGTGACCAAATTCTGAGAACAAGGACATTTGAAATGGTTAGCAGGTACGATTACGCATCAGTTGCAGTAATGAACTAACAAAAACCTGAACCAAATGCATTGTTATATGATGATTTGCAGTAGTTCCTGACAGCATGGTTTATGCAGTTGTGTGTCTCCATCTATGTAACGTATCTCTTTTTGTCCAGCGCTCCTATTCAAATCAGCGTTCAGGCCTTTCTGCTGGACAATCAGGTAGTTCCTCTGTCCATGACTAACCAGTCGCTGTACGTGACGGTGGAAACACAGGTGCTCATCGCTGGTCTGATCCTGGCAGGAGTCTACGTGCTTATTATCTTTGAGGTAAAAATTTATTTTCACACCACAAGATAATCCGTTTAGTGTTTTTTTTTTATGATTCATCATCACATTTCATCCCTTTAAACATGATCATGCCACACTGACGTCATGTCAGTTTTGTGTGGACACGTCCATCCTCTTGTTAAGTTGTGACGCATTTCACAGTTTCCAGGTTCAAGCCTCTCCTCGTTTGATTTGAGAAACTCAATCTCAGTAGCCGTTTATGACCACTCTTTGACTATTTGGCCTTAAACATGAAAATTATTAAACTCATGATTTTTTTATATGATTAAGAAACAGTTATGATTGTAAATGATATATTGAATATTTACTACCAATATTGCCATGGGTATAGCCAATGCTGCTGATAAGGCATTTAAACATAAATAAATAAATATGATTATAATAATTTATTATTATTAATATTATTTTTTTTGTTAACAACTGTTTGAGTTTTTCAGGAAACAATATAAAACGGAAAAAAAAGAGTAAATTTAAGTTTTAGTTTACTTTTGCCTTTATTTTAAAAATGTTTGGACCCAGAAACTATGACACCCCACATAAAAAAATACTAGGGTAATTTAAGTATCACTAAACTGTTTTTTTTAACCACAGCCTACTCTAGTAAATTTTATTATACAGTATATATATTCTAGAATCTATAGAAATTTGATAAATAGTATTAACTCAGACCATGTACAATGGACATCACATGTAAAGTCATATTTTTGCTTCCAGAGCAATGCACATAATTTAAAGCCTGATGTCCATGATGTTGGACTTTTTTTTCATTCAGTCAATCGGCAATAAGGTTCTACCAGTAAAAAAAAAGAAGAAAATCCTATGGCGACGCAGTGGCGCAGTAGGTAGTGCTGTCGCCTCACATCAAGAAGGTCGCTGGTTCGAGCCTCGGCTGGGTCAGTTGCCGTTTCTGTGTGGAGTCTGCATGTTCTCCCTGCGTTTGCGTGGGTTTTTTCCGGGTGCTCCGGTTTCCCCCACAGTCCAAAGACATGTGGTACAGGTGAATTAGGTAGGCTAAATTGAACGTAGTGTATGAGTGTAATCGAGTGTGTATGTTTGTTTCCTATCCGCTGCGTAAAAATGTGCTGGATAAGTTGGCGGTTCATTCCGCTGCGGTGACCCGGATTAATAAAGGGACCAAGCCGAAAACAAAATAAATTAATGAATATTTGCATATTTAACACTGCGTAAAATATGTGTTGAAGAAAATGATTGCAGCACTTTGTTCCAAACACAGAAGTAACATTTTCATTGATTTAATTCACATTTATTGAATTGAATTGGTAGCTTTAAACCAGGATTATTTTTAAATATGTGGGATCAGATACTGAATATGTTTCTTCAGTGGATTTTAATAATGTGAAGTCTGTAAAACAAAAACCTCAGAATTAAAGCTAGATGTTATAGTTATCAAATTTGTAACCTTGAGAGAAAACTTCAAATAAAGACCAACAATTTGTATGATTTTATTTTTGATTTCATGTTGGTTTGTTGTTTTAGCAGTACAGCTGTGTTTTGACCTCTGATGAAATGTGAATTTTTATTTTTATTATTATTAAACATAAAATTAAATTACTAGTATTTTTTCATGTGCGTGACAGCAGGTTTCAGAAGGACGAATAGTGGTCATGGTGGAGATATTGTTCATAAACGTTACAAAGCTGTGCTTGTAAATGGAGTATTGTGCTCGTGTGTCCTTGGTTGTTCTCAATCTCACATATTTTGTTTGTTTTGTTTCTTGTACCACTGTTGAGCACTAGAGGTCACTGGGCTCTACTGATATTAACAGGATGAGTTTTATTTATCTGGCTCACACTGACTGTGAGTCCACAGAGGTACTGGATTTTAGGAAGATCTAAAAGTAACATATGAATCAACATGAGGATTTAGAGAGCTCAAATTTTATTTCATGCCCAGATTGTTTTGGTTCAAATGGGTAAAATCATTTCCCCCCTCATTTTACTCATCATAATAATTTGCTGTAAATGGTATTTTTTAAAGATTAAAATCCCTCTTCCTGTCCTTAGGTCATTTTGACTCAAACTGTGTTTCACTCAAACTCATTGTATTGGATTAATTGTTTGTTTGTTTGTTTGTTTATTTATTTATTTATTTATTTATTTATTTATTTATTTATTTATTTATTTATTTATTTATTTATTTATTTATTTATTTATTTATTATTTGTTTGTTTGTTTATTTATTTATTTGTTTATTTGTTATAATATTATTATTTTTATTTATTTATTTGTTTGTTTTTATTATTTGTTTATTTATTTATTTATTTGTTATAATATTAATATTTTTATTTATTTGTTTGTTCTAATATTTAAATTTGTATTAATTCGTTTGTTTTTATTATTTGTTTGTTTGTTATAATATTAATATTTTATTTATTAGTTTGTTTTAGTGTTTATTTATTTATTTGTTTTTTTATTTATATTTTTATATGTGTTTATTTTGTTTTATTTATTTGAACTAAGACATTGTTATTTTTGTACAAGCACATTCAAAACAAGTGAAGAAGAAGATACACACAGTAAACAATATGTGGAAAAGTTGACTCAACTTAATATTGTAAGGCATCTTGCTGCAGAACTTTTTTGAGTTGACGCAACTTAAACAGAGTGAAATGCAGTACTTGGGTTGAAAGTTGAGTCAACTCAAAAAAGCTCTGGAGCAAATTGCCTTACAATTTTGAGTTGAGTCAACTTTTTTTTATAGTGTCAATTTGCCCTGCATACAGATTAATGAAATATAGGGATTTTTTCTGTATGGGGATAAGAGTAAACATAAATGCCCTTTTCCAATAATATGCAAAAATATTCAAATTCACACAAAATTACTTGAAAATAAAATAAAACAAAATATTTTTTTTCGTTAAATACATTTTTTTATCCATGAGGGGGCACTTTGTAAAACAACACGGGAGGATTTTTAGCTGAAACTGATTCAAAACAAAACTCCACAAACAGACATGTTTAGATTCAAAAACAAAATATAGCAATATATAAAAACTAAAAATCTAATACATATTGCTCTTGAAACTTAACATTATTTATAACATTATTATCCTTATTATCCACACCCCTGGCAAACTAATCCTGGGTGCATTCACAAAAGTCTGGAGCACAAATATCCCGATGCTTTGGTAGTTTGCACACACTAACATAATACTACATTTTACATACTGTAGGTTGCAGCATCCAGGATATACACAAGTACAAATTTGATAATAATAAATATTAAGCTGACCCTCCAGACATATCTTCAATGTACGTTATTATAAGCACTCCTCCACATTTAAACTTCCTCTTCTCCCTGTAGTGCACACATTTTAGAGTTTTAGTGTGGCTCCAGGGGGACACGAGGGCAGAGGGGACGTCCCTTCTTAATTACATTTATTTCTTCAGGAGGGACAGCATGCTGCGTGTCCGCTAGTTTAATTAGGCCTTTGTGAGAATGTTTAATGGAGACTTTGGGGGCCCCATGTATCCGCTTTCACCAAAACACTGTGTTAAATTAGGTTTATCTTTTCAGAATTGAACTAATTCTTTATTTCATGCTGATCGGGTGAGTCGCTTTATTTATCTAATTGTTAAAACATGATTATTTTGCATTAATGTTGTTTTTTAACTTAATTAATTTTTAAGTAAATTTTATTTAATACTTATTATTTTTTTATTAAATTATTTATTTAATTGCTTATTAAATCTATTTTATAAGTTTACTTCATTTTGTATGATTTTTATTTATTTTTTATTAATTTTTTATTTTTTTTCTATTCTAATTTTTTGTTGTACATTGTTTGTATGTTTATTTATTTTATTTATTTTTATATTATATTCACTGTTTTTATTTGATCTAATTTCTTTATTTTATTTTTACTTTTTATATATTTTATATTTACTATATATTTATATACTTATCATTCTTTTCTTTTCTTTTTGTTTCATTTTCTTTAAAAAATTTTATAATCTATTTATGCATTTTTTATTATTAATATGTTAAAATATTTGTTTGTTTCCTTTTGTTTGTTTATTTTTCTATATTATAATCACTGTTTCTATTTTATCTAATTTCTTTATTTTATTTTATTTTATTTTATTTGTAGGATTATTTTACTTTTTAATATTTTATTAATTTTTATTCTATTTACTTTTTAGATACTTATATTTAGTATTTATTTATATACTTTAATATATATATATATATATATATATATGTATATATACACTTAGTTTATTTTCTTTGTTTATTTTGTAGTTTTTAATTTTTTTCTATATACTATTTATGCTATTTATTTTTTCATTTTGTTTGTTTATTTTTCTATATTCTGTTTAATGTTTTTTATTTTATTTGTTTATTTCATTTTGTTTGTTTATTTTTCTATATTGTATTTGCTGTTTTTTATTTTATATATTTATTTTATTTTTCTATATTATAATCATTCTTTCTGTTTTACTTTATTTGTTTATGTTCTTTTATATATACAAAAAATCTGATTATTTATTAAAATTTTCTATTTTCTATTTACTATTTATTCAGTTTACACTTTTATTTTATTTGAATATGCAGTCTATTTGAAAGCATTGAGAGAAAGAGAGAGAGAAAAAGTTGAAATCTTATAATAAAAAACTCAAAGTCTAGTTCCAGCCTTTTTGAGGCAATCAAAAAGTGTTAAGAAAAACATTCAATTTTAATGAAACATACCTCACACATGACAGCGTGAGATTTCCGAAGAAGTATCTTGACGTCTAAAATAAGCTCTCTAACTTATTCTACTCGTGCCTTTATGTCCAGCTCTTTCCATTTTTTTTTAGCTTGAAATCTTTCAAGTTGATTTGCATTACAGATTTCATTTTGCATTTCAGTCCTTCGGACCCCATTGTAAATAATCAAGTGTTTGTTCTATTGACCTGTTTTCATGTTCTTCTTGCATCTGCATTGCATGACGGTTTTTCTGCTAATCCTCAGAGCTGATCTAGAATCAGCTTTCTGAAAACTGCTTTGATTAAAAGGGCTCAGATGGTGAGTTTCATCAGCAACCCTGATAGCTAAAACCCATTTGCCCCAAGAGAGGGCAAAACCCGAAATCTGAGATACACAACAGCCCGACATGCTTATAAATATTAATATGCCTTAAAAGACTCCTGAATAATGCATTTCTCCACAATCTAATTGCAGATATCTTGTAAACATTTTAATAATGGCTGATAGATTATTTCTGAATTAGACTGGAGTTCACAGTAACTGGGGGTCTTTGGACCTATAAAACCAGCGTTATATCTTACCCATTTAATTTTGACTATGAAGTGTTTCTTGCCCTATAATTGAGACTAATTGGTGAAAATCACCAAACAGAGAAGCATTAGTCTCAGAGGATGCTTTCTTATGCAGAACAGCACAATGTATATCCATGTTGCTGATTAATTCTGCAGAGAAAGCAGTGTTCAACGATTTATCTTAATGACCTGTTTTAGACTTACAATCACAACATTGCGCCGAGCGTTCCTCCTCCTCGGGGAAGTTGTCGGACTGACACAGATTACTTGCTCCTTGGAGAGTGGAGTCATTAGCTGTTAGCCCGAATGTTATGTTACTCGTTGTCCTTCTCTTCGCTCTACTGGCTGATTACACTGTTCTTGTAATGATGGCTTTATTGTGCCTCGTGATGTCGGGAGAGGTACATCAGGTATTTGATTGTGGCGTCCTGCGTGGTCAAGAGCTCTTAACAGGAAAACAGATGCTGAGGATGTTGATGGCTGACACGCTGTTGGAGGTGCTGATTTAGCCCAGAGAGTGATTGAAGAGCAGATGACCTGAAGATGTTGTTGAATGACGCAAGATCCAAAGCTGATGGAAGATTCTATGAGTTTGTCTTTGCTGCTACTGTTTTGTTTACTCTATTTTGTTTTTTATCCCATTCAAATAGATTATTGAGTGGAGAGCAGCTTTGATATTTGTGGTCATTTGAATATTTAATACTAAATTAAAATAAAGGTCACACTTTATTTTGATCGTTTGTTAAATTTAAGTTACATTGCATCTACGTGCCATCTAATTCTCATTAGAGTATAAGTAGACTGGTTGGGGTATAGGTTAGTGTAAGTTTGCATGTACTTGCAAAGTTTCTTGAAGTCAGTTAAATGTCTTTAGTAGCAGTATCAACAGATATTAAGCTGACAGTCTACTAATACTCACATGGACCATCAAAACAAAACTGTGGATCTCTAATGCTAACACTTTCTATTCTTTTTTCTGCTTATATTAGAATAAAATTAAATATAAAAACAAAGTAAATTAAATTCCTTTTTTTACTGCTCTGGTCTTCTAATAGTACATTTCTGTTATATTTTTCTATTCTCTGTATAGTTAATTAAGTTAATTAATTAATTTTCAAATTTTACTGGTCACTTTATTAGGTACACCTGTCCAACTGCTCGTTAATGCAAATTTCTAATTAGCCAATCACATGGCAGCAACTCAATGCATTTGGGCATGTAGACATGGTCAAGATGATCTGCTACAGTTCAAATATGTGCATCAGAATGGGGTAGTAAGGCTATTTAAGTGACTTTGAATGTGGCATGGTTGATGGTGCCAGACGGGCTGGTCTGAGTATTTCAGAAACTGCTGATCTACTGGGATGTTCATGCACAGCCATCTCTAGGGTTTACAGAGAATGCTTTGAAAAACAGAAAATATTCAGTGAGTGACAGTTCTGTGGGGGCAAATGCCTTGTTGATGCCAGATGTCAGAGGAAAATGGCCAGACTGGTTCCTGCGGATAGAAAGGCAAACAGTAACTCAAATAACCACTCGTTACAACTGAGTTATGCAGGAGAGCATCTCTGAATGCTCAACACATCAAACCTTGAGTCGAATGGTCTACAGCAGTTGAAGACCACACCGGGTGCCATTCCTATCAGCTAGGAACAGGAAACCAAGGCTACAATTTGCACATGCTCAGCAAAATTGGACAATAGAAGATTGAAAAAACATTGCCTGATCTTGATTTTTGCTGCTACATTCAGATGGTAGGGTCACAATTTGACATCAACAACATGAAAGTATGAATCCATCCTACCTTGTGTCAACAATTCAGGCTGGTGGTGGTGGTGTTCTAATGGTGTCTGGGATATTTTCTTGGCACACTTGGACCCATTAGTACCAATTGAGCATTGCGTCAATGCCACAGCCTACTTGTGTATTGTTGCTGACCATGTCCATCCCTTCATGACCACAGTGTACCCATCTTCTGATGGCTACTTCCAGCAGGATAATGCGCCATGTCATAAAGTGTGAATCATCTCAGACTGGTTTCTTAAACATGACAATAATTTTTCTGTACTCAAATGGCAATCCACAGTCACCAGATCTCAATCCATTAGAGCTCCTTTGGGATGTGGTGGAACGGGAGATTGGCAACATGTATCTGCAGCAACTTTGTGATGCTGTCATGTCAATATGGACCAAGTCTCTGAGGAATATTCCCAGTCCCTAGTTGAATCTATGCCACGAAGGATTAAGATACAGTGAATCTAAAGGCGAAAGGGGGTCCAACCCCGTACTAGTAAGGTGTACCTAATAAAGTGGCCATTGTGTGTATGTATGTATATACAGTGTATATATATATATATATATATATATATATATATATATATATATATATATATATATATATATATATATATATATATAGTGTATGTATGTACGTAATGTAATGTAAAAGTGTTACAGTCTATATTTATTTTGGAATTTTGGATTACAAAGCAGTGCTTTAGAACGTTGCAGACCTTAACTGAACTTGTCTAGTGAACCATATTAACCTAGTTAGTATATTGCAAAATAACTAGTAAAATATTATGTATTGTCATCATGACAGAGACATTAGACATTAAAAGAAATTCTATATTAGAAGTAATTTATTAAAACTATTGTTTAAAAAATGTGTTTACATTTTTTTGCGTGGTTCTTGTTGCTTTGATTACCTTTCATTTGTAAGTTGCTCTTGATAAAGGTGTCTGCTTAAAGATTAAATTTACATGATTGGACAAAAAGGGTCAGAATGAATGAAAAATATGAGAAATGAGGTGGATCAAACTGCAAAAAGACATGAAGTGTGGGTGTGAAAGTTATTTCTCCCAAATCTTATGCATTACATATTTGATCGCTCTTGGTAAGGTGTGCACCATTGTTATTATTGCAAATGTGGAAAGTTGAAAATCTCAACTGTTATAATTTAGTGTAATGGTGAGCATAGCATCTTATAGCATGCAGCTTGTTGTCTTGAGGTGTGCGATTGCTTTTATAAGCAATAAGATATAATTTTTTTTTTTGCATGATGGGTGAAAAAATGAGAAAAACACACTGATTTAGAGCTCATTAAAAACAAAACACAAACAATCATTTTATGTGTGGTGCACTGTGGCCAATGTTATGAACAAATTTTGTGAAAAATATTTGGCAAAGTATATTGTGATCCAACTTGGAGTTATTATTCTGATGAAATATGTTTTCCTCTAGCTTATTTGTCTTTGTTTGTCTGTGTTTGCAGATTGTTCACCGCACTCTGGCTGCAATGTTAGGATCCCTGTCTGCTCTGGCAGCTCTGGCTTTCATTGGAGATGTACGCTTTATTTATTCCATTCTCATAAAGATTGTTTGCCTTGAGTCGAGAGTTAGGCTCTGGGACTTCGTTAGTTTTATAAACTGCAGTGATGGTCTTTAGTCTTATTAGCTTAAAGTATGAGAGCACAGCTCCAGAACATTCTGTCTTGTGCTGAGGTCTGCATGAATAATATAGAAGGGGCAAACATGGATTTAAATTACAGTACAGAGTCTGAGTTTCAGAATAATATGTAAAGAAGCACCTACAGTACATTTACACAATTAAATAAATCAGACCGGGCCATTTCACATAAATGGGATTTTGGCAGTAATTGCATTAATTGTCTCTAATGTGTAGCACAGGATGGTGAATAATTAAAATCCTGACTTTCTCTTTGTGGCTCTATGTATTAGTTATTGTATTACAGAAACCAGAGATAAGTGCTTTATTTAAGCGCAAGTAAAATTACTCAGTATGCTTCTGTCTCTTTGATAGATGGAGTGCCCTTTAAAAATACCCAGAGCTCAGTAGTCTCAAATCACTTTTTTTCCCACTTAAAACTTTATGAACTTTGAACTTGGTTGGTTGTTAGACTCTACTGTAAACAAAATGCAGTATCAAGGTTTTAGCTGGTATTGTTATGAATCTTTAATATTCAGAGAGCCTAGTTAAGACTGAAATGTTCTCATCTTGTTGTCTCTCTACTGTAGAGGCCGAGTCTTATGACTGTTGTGGAATGGATTGACTACGAGACGCTTGCCTTGCTATTTGGAATGGTGAGTATATAAAAAATCTTGTCTGTAGGAGCTCTCATGCTCGTTATTTTTCCCAGTAAACTTTAGTATTGTGGTTACAATGTAGTATATATGTTTGAAATACTACTACATTTTAAAATGTATTGAAAAACATTCCCCCCCCCACCCCCCCCCCACCCCCCCGTTAAACAGCATTAAGGAAATATATTGTCTCAAAAGAATGAAGATTAATAATAATAAATAAATACATTATCATTAGTCAATTAACAAACTAATCATTTTGATTCACATGACGTGTACTGCAGCATTGACTACAGTATACTGTCTGAAAAATATATACTGTAGCAGTACAGTATTTTAAAACTCCAGTAGTGCAATCCTACCATAGTGCCTGTAAACGTGCGACCCTATTAGACGCTTATATCTAGTGTAATGAGATGCTTTAACTTGCCTGTTGACAAAGACGCTCTAATTGTTTGACAGGCTGACAAACCGCTAATCCAACCTCTAACCTCAACCCATATCAGCCTCTCAGTCAACCTGCCAGGCACTAAATAGGGCACATTTCTTTAATGTGCTATTAACCTAGTGCTTCTTTTAGAAAGTGCTTCTTTTACTTTACATTGCAGAAGAAATGTAGGGTGTGTTATGTGTGTCTGGATGTCTGCTTAATAAGAAATGAGTCCATGTTTTGCATGGTCATGTGACAAAGTGTGACAAAATATACGAAAACACGTTAAAACACACAGGCTATGTAATATTATTACCGAAGTGGCACCCTTTTCAAGATCTTTGTTTGTTCAATGGCTGTCTCCATGGAAACAAATACGCTCAATCAGCCCTCATCCAGAAGACTACATGTAGGAGTATTTGAGAAAAAGCATAAAAGAAAATCAGACACAGATGATAGAAAATGAATCACAGCATCTGTCAATTTTAAAGATGAGCGTACGAGGCTGAGACGCATTTTACATTCGAAATGTTAGCTTAATGAACTCAGCAATGTTGATGTTTCACTTTATTGATTTCCTGTATTTTAGGAAATCAGTTTCTGAATCTGAGGCAGAGAGAAAAAAAAAAAACAGGGGAAGGATATATGTGGCATGAAATTGAGTGAGAGGCTGTGTGATATTTGAGACTTAATGTGATTTTATAGCAACACATGTGGCAGTAAGTGCTAAAAATAGAAAGCATGAAATGTTGAAGTCTCATAACCCTTCCTGTTTACTTTCAGATGATACTGGTGGCAATATTCTCGGAGACTGGTTTCTTTGATTACTGTGCGGTAAAGGTGAGTTCTCTTGTTTTACAAATGCTTATTTGGGATTTGTTTTGCATATGTCTGCTTATGCAAGATACAATGTCTTTGTTCCCGAGATAGTTCGGTCCTCATGTTTTCTGTAAAATTACACTTTATCTTTCCAACCCACCTTAAATATAATTATTGGGCAAAGATGACTAAAGGATTTCATGCATTAAAATAAATCCAATTGTACAAGTGAAATTTTCCCTGTTACATAAGAATTTGTTAAGCCTGATTTCTACTTTCGCCTGGCACCGCATCGCGCACCTCCGCTGACTGAGCGTGCACCTCACAAAACGGACGAGTCTTTTATACTTGATGCGTTTGATGTTGTGATATTCTTTAAAGCCACAGGGGGCAGTCAAAAGAAACCCACCCTGAGGTTAGACAGATAAACAGAGAAGTAGGAAATTTCCGGAATATCATTAATATCATTCAAGATTTTTTAACTAATTATTTTTATAAATAAATTTTAATAATTATAAATATTTTTATAACCATTCAAGATTTTTTTTTTAATTAAAACTTTTATGCATCTCTTGCTTTTGTTCATATCTCAGACAGTTCCACCTTTTAAAGTTTAATAAAATATTAATGACGACATTGGTTTCTCTACAAGTATATTGTTTTATTATAGCAAGAATAAAAGCAAAAAAAACAAAAAAAAAACAAACAAACACTAAAAATCTAAAAACTAAAGACTTTGTTATTTAGCCCACTCAACTATTCACAAATTGCTGTCTGGCTAGTTTGCCCTCTACTGATATGCTAAAAAGGCAATAATGGTCGAACATTCCTGACAATTATCACCAATAAAGCCTAAAAAAGCAGGCCATCAGTATATTGTAAATCGCTAGGTTCAAATATTCTTTTCCAGTTATCAAAGAAATAATTTGTTGCTTTAATATAGTTTTGTAACTATTACATTGTTTTAAATTCAAAATTGTAATATATACATCTGTGTTAAACTTATAAATGGTGGAAAAACACATTATGTAAAATTAAAATCACCTGGGTCTCCACTTTTGCCATGGCTTCACTTTTTGGTTTTAACAAACTTACCCCTCACGTTTTTCTACACCTTTACAAAAATTTCCACCTTTCCCATGGCTGTTGCAATTTCTTGCCAATAATTATTGTCCATCTAGTTATCCCTATGATCAGTCATGGACAGATCATAAAGATGTCTGTACAGTCGTACCTGTTTAAAAAAAACCCATGCAAAGTGTTATATATTTAACTCAAATCAAATGCAGCACCGCATGAACTGTTTGTTTGAGTCTCAAAAAAAAAAAAAAATGCCCTCCTCCAGCTGAAATCATGTCGCGCACAACCAAAGCGAACACATCCATGATGTCACATTTGGCACACACAGTCAAGTGTACTAGCGGACGCATCAAGTTTAAACTAGGCTTTACTGTATTTATTTTGTTCTCAGCAAAAATCAATGCCTGTGATGTGTTTGCCAACAATAGATTATAAATCAAAAATCATCTTGGCAGGCATATTTAGAACAAGAACCATTTGACATAATAATAATAATAATAATAATAATAATAATAATAATGATAATAATAATAATAATAATAATAATAATAATTCCTTACAATTATATAGCATTTTCTGGACACTTAGCGATTTACACACATTTTTTAGGGGAATTTCCTCATCCACCACCTGTGTGCAGCATCCACATGGATGACACGACGGCAGCCATATTACTAGACAGCACTATGCTACTGCTAGACAGCTAGATGCTACTGAGTTCAAACAGCCTATAACAAGCGACACACAACACCATGACGAATGAGTGCACTCTCTCTCATTCACACACACACACAGCACCACAGCAGATGCACGCGTTCTTTCTCATTTACACACACGCACACACATGCACACACACACACACTCAGCACCACGGCGAAATGTACTCCCACGCCACAAGAAATCTGGTCAAGTCCCATGGTACAGTGTGGGAATGCAGACATCTACCTTGGTTTAACGTTTCATCCGAAAGAAGGCACTCAATGAGCCAGAGTCCCCATCAATGAACTGGGGAGTTAGGACCCACACAAACTACAGGTTTAGCACCCTTTTGTCCTCACTAAACCCACGTCCAGCAGCAAACTAGCTTTCCCATGTGATCTCCCATCCAGGGGTGCGTTTCCCAAACAACAACGTAACTCGCAGCTGAACTATTATAGTACTATGCATAGTTTGGGAAAAGACTTATGTAGTGACGAGTGTTTCCCAAAACCCCTAGTTTCTCTGTCGCAGATTCATCACTTGAACCATGTTAGTTATATTGTAAAATGCCCATAATGATGCTCTAAACAAGTTGGAGTAACTACTTCTTTAGAGAATAGCCCCATAATTTCTTTGTGTGAATTATATTGTTTTACACGCACATGGATTTAAAATAAAATCCAATATTAGTTTTGGTAAAAAAATGCTCTCGCTTTCCATATTAATTGAAATATATGTAAATGGCACATATAGGCCTATGTGGGTTTTACTAATATTATTGAGAAGTTGAACATTACATGTTCTATTAAATAAAATAAAAACAAATTCCCAACAAAAGCTAACACTATTCTAATATTATATATAAATTATATAAATAAATAAATAATGATGCTATTTATTATAAATATATTTACTTTAATAATTATATTAATAATATTCATGATTATTATTATTATTATTATTATTATTATTATTATTATTAGTAGTAGTAATAGTAGTAGTAGTAGTAGTATTAAGTAGGATATTGTTTATTTATTTTTTATTTTTTGAAAAGCTTTTTCACTTTTACAATTTAACACAAGCAAACCACAGCAGAAAGTTTTAACCAACAGGCCCATGTCATATTCAGTACAGATACTTAAAAGAATTAACGTATGCTTTTTGTTTTCACAAGCTTTGGAGACGTAAAATAAATTCTGCTTTTAAATAATAGCTCATCTATGGCTTTTGCCATGAGGCTGTGTTTAAAATGATATCAATGTTTTCAACGTGCACTGCGAAGGGAGCACAATTGTAAACATGAAGATCGCTAAAACTGAACTGTAAAAATAGTTTGAAAGCAAATTACACCTAAGAGAGAGGACCTTAATGCTTTTTTCTTTTTTTTTTTAGAATAATTCCAAGTTTAAATGTTAGAATGTTCTAAATGAATAGGGCATAGGGGGAATAAGTGGGAATAGAACATAGCCAATAACTATGTTTCAAACTACAGCTCCAGAGGTGTAGTTTCAAGTGCTCAAGTTTGTGACGCAGTTTGCGAATGTTTGTTGGAGATTTGGAAAACGGCAAATCAACAAACTATGTTTGTAATGACAGAACTTGCGATGTTAGTTGGCTAATGATGGTTTTGGGAAACGCACCCCAGATATTGACCAGGCGACCAGGCTTTGCTTGAGTGGTCGACCATGTCAGAGTTGCAGAAAGCTAGCTGCCAGCCAAAAGATAATAAAAGATTATACAGTATTTAGGGATCACGGTGCAGGCAAAAATGTTCATTTTAAATATATGTACTTACTATATGTAAAACTGCTTGTTTTATCAATTTATTGAGCAAAAATAAAATGTTTTAATAATTAAAAATCTTATAAAAAATCTAGTATGATCACTTTTATTTTAAATATATTAATAATGACAGGTCAGAATAAGTATGTTGTTTCATTTTTACATAAATACATTTGTTAAACACTCAATGACAATGAGCGTACATTATTTGACCTTTATTTTGAAATGGATTTATTTGAAGCATTAAAATAGGCATTACCTGTGGAATACATAACCTGCTTTACATGAATATAAAAGCACTTTTTAAAATTGCGTATGTGCACACCATAATGAGACGTTGTGTATTTGACCCACCAAATAACAGCAATCTCTGTTGCTCATTCTGTCTGATATGCTTTCATTTTACATTATTGATGTTCCAGTTTTGAATTTTGTCAGTGTAATCCCATCATTTTACTTTACCCAGTAAGCTTTGGGGCAAAGGAGCAGAGCTATTACCATAGCTGCCCTGAAAATCCCTATCGTTCACAAGCAAGCGGTGAGACGCCATCCAATGTTTTATATCTGAAATTTATGGGTGAACATCAAGCCCTGATAGAGACAGAAAAAAAAGACATCTGATGGAACAAATCTTTACGAAATGATGCAAAAGTTTACAAATCATGAAGAAAATGAGTTCTGAAAGATAATGAAAGCCTTGAAATAAATCTACGATGAACTTCATTGGATGGATATCTGTTCAAGGATTCTGTGGACCCCTATAAAAGCTCTTTTAGATCATTAAAGATGTGCTCGGGCAAACGAGGGCGCACGCTTATGGCTTCTCATCCCATTCATGAATATTAAGAGGGTTTTGGACAAGGGCATGTCCAACAAATTAAAATATTGCCATAGAAACAACTTCTGATTGAATTCAAGAGACCAACTCGAGAGCATGAAGTTGGATTGTTTAATTTGAAATAAGAGTATAGTCGTGTGTGGGGGTTTGCATTGTTTTTTTTTAGTTACCGCCAATTTCCGACAGGAAGGTGGGCTTCAACACTCCAGTGTTACCACTTGATTAAAATGATTCCAGACAGTCTGATAATGTCTCCATAGTGACAGGATCTTAAAGTGCTGCCATTTTCTTTCTATTCTTTCCAGGCTTGAACAGTCTTTTAGCAATAAAGCATGAATGAGCAAACACACTACGGATCTGTGTCAATTTTTAGACTGAATCCCTCATTAAAGCACACTTTTGAACGCTGTGTTGAGAGACCCCCTCAGAGGACTGCTCTTGATCCTTTATCTTTGAGCCACTGATAGATCTATCTCTTCTTTCCAATGAAGGATTTTTATGAAAACATGATTGTGGTAATGTTCAGAAAGGCATTTTTTTTGTGTCTCAGTTAGTTTTTATTTCTGTGAAGTTATGAGAAAAGATCTAACTTTGTAAACTCATCTTTAAGGTATCTCCCACTGTGTTTGTTTGTCCCCACACAGGCCTATCAGTTATCACGAGGAAGAGTTTGGCCCATGATTATTATTCTCTGCTTAATTGCTGCCATTCTGTCTGCCTTCCTTGATAATGTGACAACTATGATGCTCTTCACCCCTGTGACTATAAGGTATATTAGTCTTTTTTAATATTTGTTTTACCTAAATCATTATTGTGCTAGCATTTAAATCAGCGTTTGGTCACAACCAGTTATTAAAAGTTGAATAATATAACTTATCATTAATTGAAGGCCCACACGGAATCTACGCACGCAGTTTCCTCAGATTTCTGCAGATTTCTGCAGATTTTTTAGCCCGTCCTTAATTCTGTTTATTAACTTTAGTAAATGTGTGTAAATCTATATTTATTCAGTTTTTTAATTATTTTTGGTAATGTTATTGACTGATATGTAAAGTTTCATCTGATTTATGTATAATGCAGTTTGTACAGTATTTTCTGTGTTTTAGTAGATATATTATGAGAGACTTGCTTTGTCAACCAAACAAAGTGAATCTAATTGGATTTGCATTTTAAACATTTAATAAAAGTTTAAAAGATATTATTTTTTATTTCACATATTAAGGTTTTAGATATGATACTGCCAAAAAAATTCAGCAAAAATCTGCAGATTTTTACCAAAATAGCAAAAAACGTCCTCAGATTCCATCTGGCCCTATTTACAGTTGAAGTCAGAATTATTAGCCCCCCTGGATTATTAGCTCCCTGTTTATTTTTCCCCCCAATTTTTGTTAAATGTAAAGAAGATTTTTTTTCAACACAATTCTAAGCATAATAGTTTTAATAGCTCATTTCTAATAACTGATTTATTTTATCTTTGCCATGATGACGGTAGATAATATTTTACTAGATCATTTTCAAGACACTTCAATACAGCTTAAATTGACATTTAAAGGCTTAACTAGGTTAATTAGGTTAACTAGGCGGGATACAGTAATTAGGCAAGTTATTGTATAACGATGATTTGTTCTGTAGACTCTCAAAAAAAAAAAATGCTTAAAAGGGCTAATCATTTTGTCCTTAAAATGGTGTTTAAAAAATTAATAACTGTTTTTATTTTTGCCGAAATAAAACAAATCTTCCAGAAGAAAAAATATTATCAGACATACTGTGAAAATGTCCTTATTTTGTTTATTAATTTTGTTATTTTGTCCTTATTAATTTAGGCCATTCCTCATATTACTTAAACCATAACAAAAAACTAAATTAGCATTTTGAAATTTCTCTTCAAAACCCTCACTTTGTTCATGTTTATTTCTCATTTCTACCTTCTTGATCATCTAAGCCTTATTAGTTGCACATGTCCCTCGTACTGTACTATGTTTATAGCCTGCTCGATCTTCTTACCGAGGGAAACATTAATATAGATAAAACATGAGTCGCATGTTAAACTCACTCATGGGACCCAAGTGAAACACTTATGAAATGTAAGGTTAGAATATTTTCCCATTATTAAGGTGACATTCTAAAAATTAACTCAAACATTATTATTGAAATTTTAGCAATTTGCTATACTGTTTATTACACTGTATACATTTAGTTACTTGTATTAGTTCATTTACAAAATAAGCAACAGGTTTATTCGCTATTTAAAATAAAATAGACTGAATGAATGTACTTATTTTTGTTTTTAAAAGTAAAGTCAACTAATTGTTTTTTGCAATATATTGGAATCATTGTCGCAAAGCATTAACAGTATTGCATTGCTGCCCAACTCTCTAAGGAAGTCTATGGGGCAAACAGTTATGAATGCATATTGTGAAAGAACAATACTCAGAGAAAAGAACCTCAGAAAACCTTTAGAATGCCTTAAATGTATTGTACACACTTCACAGTATATACTATATAGGCTATTTCATTTTTTTTTTTTACAAACTGAGAGACGAATGCAGATCTTTTTATTTAGCAATCGACAATTGTCAGTATTGCTTAACTTGTATTGTACAGTATGTGAAATATTTAAAATATAAATATATATAAGACATTGTAAAGATGTCTGATCAGCTGAATACTAGAAGGCCTTGAATTTTCTTTGGACAAGAATTTCTCTTTCAGTCTGCTTAGAGTTGTAAAAGGAGTCAAAAAGTTATTTCACCACACTATAAACTTCCCACCCTATTTGCTCTTTTCAGCTCGAATGGAGCATATTTGAACCTTCCATCTTTTCATTCTTACACAGTCTCTTTCATGTGATTTATCTTGTTTTTCATATTTATGTCACTTACAGTATATGTTGTATTTGCTTATACATGCCATTATTTATACAGGACACCACTTTTCTTCAGAAGCCACCCAGTGTGAACCAATTAGTTTCATCATGTGCCATTCCTGCTGAAAACAAATGTGTATAAAATAATCCACATACACGTTTGTTATAGCAAAGATACCTTTTTGGAATTTCTGCGAAATCCATCCATCAAATTCTTATCATCTTATTTGGATTCTAGAAATCCCTAGTCTGGTAGCATAAAATAAATCTATATTTCAAATAGCTATTAAAATGTGAGCCGCTGCCTCAGCGCTTTCATGACATTGCTGGTGAGAAATGACTCCCTTTTTTTTGATTATGCATCACCAATTGCATCTTCAAACACCTTCAGGGCTTCAGGGTTTAAAAGCAGAGAACGCACACACACACACACACACACACACACACACACACACACACACACACACACACACACACACACACACACACACACACACACACGTTAAAGAATGAATTCTAAAAATTAGAGAGTTCAGCTCTTCGTTAACTGCCAATTTGCTTGTTGAAGTGCTTTCTTTACGCCAATTTAACAAAGGAAACTGATTTGCTTATCTTTGGGTTTGCTTGAAATTCAGTGTTAATAACTAAGCTTGTGCACAAACCTGGAATTTTGCGAAGCTCAGCTTAAACTTGCTTTTACTGAATTAGGCCCTCCCATCTTCCTGTTTTATTATATATATTACAAATGTGGCATAATTAAAGGTGCAGTTTGTCAGTTTGACAACCAGTGGTTGAACTAGTTATTGCATGCCTGGTTCAAAACAAACACAAGTGCGGGTTGCTAGATTGATGACACCAACAGCACTGTGCCTAACTGTCGAACCTAAAGGCTGATATAGAGCTGATTATTAAATCATGTATTAAATCAAGTAAAAGCAACGGTACATAATAGAAGGAATATTTTTCATATTAGAAGGAGTTTTTGTTTTAAAAAACACCAGAAATGTATTATTTAGAAACTATTTCTTGCAGCTGTATAACAAAAAAACTGACAATGATCACCTCATGTACACTTTGTGTGCTCTATACAGTGTTATATGCTCTATTCACTGCTAATAATGTGAGTTCAAATGCCATTTTACATGATTTTTATTGGCATACTACTGAAAGCAGCAGCAGATAGTTCACCTCAGATCTTGAAAATAACATAAACCATTTGAAATGGAACTTCTGTGTAAGCCAAGACAAATCAGTGATTCAGCATGTTCATTTAATAATGTTAAAGTAGTTTAATATGTGTTAATTAGATTATAAACCTTACCTGCTCACCCAATGTTTACGTTTGTAACATTGATATTATTTGCTTATTAATAACCACGTCATGTGGAACTCTGAATCTGCGTTTCGTTTGGAGTCTGCTACTATCCCCTGGAAGTTGCATTTCAGTCACAGATGCATAGTTTGAGAGCGTTTCTGACTAAATTAATGAAAACCATTGTTTTCCGCCAAGGTAATCCGGGGTGCTGAAATATAATTGGTTAAACTGGCATAAGGCAGGTTAAATGACCAAAACAAAGACAGACTTTCCAGCGTGGAACACGCATTTTCAAAGCAGACTATCTGACTTTAGCATTGTTTTTCAAATAAACTATTATTTTCACTTGTTTCTTAAATATCTGCAAATGTTTTATGGTATTCGTATGCTTTAGAAGAGTCAAAAACTTACATACAGCACCTTTAAAGCTACAATCCTCTGTAAAAATTCATTGGTGTAGCCACCGATAGTGCTTTAAAGGTGCTATACACACGCACACTGGAGAGATTCATCCTTGTCTATTGTCTGTTTTATTTCTGCTATGAGTTTTGAGTGATAGAAATGTCTGCAGTTAGTTAACATTAAATTGTTTGCACTGCACTGACAGTCCAGCTTCGCTAGTGCTAATCAGTGTCTTTTGTACACTAGGCTTTGTGAGGTGCTTAATCTGGACCCCAGGCAGGTCCTGATTGCAGAAGTAATCTTCACCAACATCGGAGGAGCTGCCACTGCTGTCGGAGATCCTCCCAATGTCATCATCGTATCCAACCAGGATCTCCGTAAAAAAGTATGTAATTATTTATCACCGTTAGCGTTTGATGCCAGGTCATTCACGGGTGAAGAGATATCGTGCTGCTGTCTTGTGCCTGTCGAAAGTGTGTCAGGGAACTTGTCGGACAAATTATACATGATTGCACAAATAAACAAAAAAACACACAGACACATGACCAAGCGTTTTTCTGGCATGGAATGAAAGCCTTGTGCCAAAACACCCTGTCACTAGCAACTCAAGGCTAAAGCACTATGGCATCCTGTCTTACACCTCAGACTATTAATTATGTAGGAATGTTTCTTGCCAGCTTCAGTTTCACTCTGCCAAATTCTCTCTCTCCATCGTTCTGTTTCTCTCGGCAGAACTGAAATCGTTTAACTTCCGTAAATCAAAACTGCAATTGTGTAGCAGACAGTTTGTACAAACTCTGAAACCAACAATTTCTAACTTAGAGCATGTGGTATGTTTGGCTGCAATAGACTTGTTATTTACTGTATCACACTTTCTTCACACTGCGTATAAGGTGTTCACATTCAAGAATCCAAATAATTCATGCAGTTTATAATGTGAGCACACAAATAACCATTTCAATTTAAATATCCAATTATTTTTGTAATGTGCATTCAGTATTAGTGTTTGTGTCCAGTTATCATAGCCATTTTCAATGTTATGAGTTTTTTTTTTTTTTACCAAGTGAGGGTATAGAGATGAATTGATCAGCTAGCTAGATTAGATTTTGATGGAAATTTGTTCTGATCTTGGGCACAAACTGCATCGCAATCATTTTATGCAAGTGTGTAAATAGAACAGACTAGAAACACCAAAGACTGAGCCCAGAAAATCAAGTTTTCTGCATCTTTAGAAGTGTCTTCTTGTTTGACACTATTGTGCACAGCAATAGCAGCCTTATATTCAAAATTGTGGGGTTTATCTTTATACCCTGGGAACCAAAAAGTGTTTCCCTGAAACTCTTTGTTCTGAAGAATCACTTGGAATCCACCTTACACACGTTACACATTTCACTGTAATGTGTGATTTTATTTATTTGTTTGTTTGTCTGTCTGTTTGTTTATTTATTCATTTATTTATTACATTTAATCAAATAGATGATGCAGCTGCTAAGGAAGCTTTGAACAAGTGGTGAACAAATGCTAATTTCCTCCAGAGAGTTTTAAGACATTTTGGGCTCTATTTGAATGATCTAGGTGCAAAGTCTAAATCGCATGGTGCATGGTCTAACAAGGTTGTGCTTATTCTTCTAATGAGTTATGGTTGTGTTTTGAGCAAAACGTGCATTAAAACAATCAGAGTCTCATTTTCCATTCTCTTTAAGAGTCAGTTGTGTTGCGCCATGGTGCATTTGCTATTTACATGGCAGACTTTGTAAGTGGAAAAACTGAATGCTTCACTAGCGAGAAAACAGTTAAGACCATGTGCGCAAGAATAAAGAAAGAGCCTCCTCCATTCAGCCTCTTTACATTCTATTTACTTTACTCCTTCACTTTCGTGAACAAGGAAACAGTGTTGTACGCACTCCACTGAAGACATTTATTAGCCTACATATTTAATTTTATTTGTCAAGCCCAAAAATTTGTTTAAAAAATATTTCTATATTCAGTTCTAATTTCCAGCAAATGAATAAATGAACAATAATAATGAAGTGTGGTCTAAATATATATCTAAACACTTCCTATTCTTATACCCCATACGTGTATGCATACGTCTCCAAAACCAGACACGACTAAACTAAAATATGCATATATAAAATAATACTCCTAATAATAACATTATATAAATGCAAATTGTCATAAATAAACTGATCCCCCCACCCCCCCTGCATGGATGCAGTGTTTTTTATATTTATGTAGAAAATAATAATTTTTGTAACATTTTAATTCTTTAATATTTTTTTTTATTTTTTAAAATGTGAAAATTAGGGTTATGCTGGTCTGAAAATAGCAACAAATCATACCAAACACGTCTCGTGTCTAATTGAGTTGGGTGCATGATATATAGGGCTCTATATTTAGATATCTAAGGCTGTATATTTATTATGGAAATGTTTTTTGCCATAAAAATAGCTTTGGTTGCTGACATGGCATTAAATAAACAATGCATTATTATACTAAATCAAATAAACATTACATGCAACTTTGACTTACTTCACATTAAACTGATTTAAAGTGTCAAGTTGAATCATGTATACCTTAAAATCTTAAGTTTAACATGGTTAAGCTTTTTTAATAAGTTAAAATAACACAAATATGTTGGCATGATGTTTTGATCTTTTTTTTTCACAATGTACTCCATTATCATCCTTTTTTTGTCTTTTTTTTGCTGGGTGCTGGATGACAAGGATTAATAATTAATAATAATTCTTCACATTTATATATTGCTTTTCTGGACACTCAAAGGGATTTTACACCTTTTTTTTTGGGGAATCTCTTCATCCACCACCAGTGTGCAGCATCCACCTGGATGACACGATGGCAGCCATTTTGCACCAGATCGCACACCACACACCAGCTGATTGGTGAAGAGTCAACAAAGTGATGAAGCCAATTGTGATATAGGGATGATTAAAAGACCAACATGAGCATAGGCCAGTGGGAAATTTGGCCAGGATGCCGGGGTTAAACCCCTACTCTTTTTTTTTCGAAGGATATCATGGGATTTTTAACAACCACATAGTGTCTGGACCTCGGTTTAACATCTCATCTGAAAGATGGCACTCACTGAGCAGTATAGAGTCCCCCTCACTTTACTGGGGCGGTAGGACCCACTCCGACAGCAGGTCGAGCGCCCCCTGCTGGTCTTACTAACATCACTTCCGGCAGCTACCTAGCTTTCCCATGTGTCTCTCATCCAGGTACTGACTGGACGCAGCTTTACCTAACTGCTTAGCATTAAAAGGGAAAGTTCATGCAAAACTGAAAATTCTGTCATCATTTTACTCACCCCTTTCTTTTTCCAAACCTGTTTGAGATTATTTCTTCTGTTGAACGCAAAATAGGATACTTTGAGGAAAACTGGAAACCTGTTACCATTACAATTGTGTTTGTTTTTGTTACAATAGAAGTCAAATTTCCAGCTTTCTTCAACATCTTTTCTTTTGTGTTCAGCAGAATAAAGAAACTCATAAATGTTTGGAACCACTTGCATCAAATATAGTGAGTTAATTCATTTTTTGGGGTGAGCTATCCCTTTAAGTTAAGCTGCATGAAGGACGTTTGTCAGTAAATCATATGCCAGAGTAATTTGCAGTTCATTCCACTGCGGCGACCCCTGATAAAGAAGAGAGCAAGCTGAAGGAGAGCATAAAGAAACCACTTCTACTTCAGCCTGCTCTTTGAAACAAGTCTAGTATGCGTTTCTTGATGCTGGTGAAAGTGACTGATTACAAAATATTGAGTCTGAAACATTGCTGTGTACTTACTTTCCTAACTTAATCACAGAACAGGAACACAAGGATTTTCTTTCCTTCTAGTACAACCTTTGAATCTATGTTCAAACTCTTTCTATCAAACCCTCAGTCAAAGGGAAGCACAATTTAAAGTTCCATCCTACCAACTGGACAAGGTCACGAGCAGCCTGAATAATCTTCAGGTTTATTATGTGACCTTAAAGCACAGAGTCTTGTGTGCTCCTGTCTTTATTGAGCCTTGTGAAAAACCGGATTGATTGAAAAGGTGAGGGAACATTTTTGATTTATTATTCACTTTAATGGAAAAGACAGAACCGTGGGACTCAGGTTTGTGCTTGTGATAGAAAATTCATGTTCATGTTCAGACAGAGACCAGTGTATGACCTTATTGGTGGTATGACTAAATATAAGTGTGACAGTACTGGAGTGTCTCATAGTTTGTCTTTTTGTTGTTGGGTTTGTTAATATGTTGCTCTTATTTAGTATTATGGGTTTGAATGCTGTTCAAATGGATAACACTTTGGATGCATTTATAACACACCTAAAGTATGCCCTTCAGTGGCAGATTAATCCTATTTGCATTGCATTTGCATTGCATTGCATTTAAATTGCTTTTACGCGTTTCGCAGAAACTTTTACCTAAAGTGATTCACATTGCATTGAAAGGTAAACGTTTGATCAGTTTTTGCTTTTATTGAGAATCAAATTCACAGCCTTGGTGTTGTTACTGTCATGTGCTGCTACCTGATTTAAAGCAAAACTACAATCTCAATTATGAAGTAATTTACATCCTGTAGTTTTTTGTCACTCAAACAGAAGAAATTTATTTCCGGCAGCTGGGGTGCTGAAAAAAAATAAAATAACGGCTGTTAAATTACAGAAATTCACAGTAAAATAACGAATATTAAATTACAGAATTTTCCTTAAATTTCAATTTCTGGCAAATTTCTGTAAGTTAATATCCATTATTTTATGGTAAATTTATGTAATTTAACAGGCCGAAAATAAACCGTAAAATTACGAATTTTTAAGTTTTTTTACAGTGTACATATTTATAATTATAATTAATTTTGAGAATTTAATCATTTTGATTGGGTAGCAAGATGCCTTAGTGAATAACACTGTCATTTTACAGCAAGATGGTTGCTGGTTCGAGTACCGGCTGGGCCCCTTGCCATTTCTTTGTGGAGTTTGCATGTTTCCTCCAGGTGCTTCAGTTTCTCCCTCAGTCCAAAGACATGCCCTATAGGTGAATTGAGTCAACAAAATTTGCCTTAGTGTATGAGTGCGTGTGCGTGAATGTGACAGTGTACGATTGTTTCTCATTCTCTGTGTAAAACAGATGCCGGAATAGTTGGTGGTCATTCCGCAGTGGAGACCCCTGATATATAAGGAAGGAAAGGTGTGCTGAAGGAAAATGAACAAAAAATCAGAGTCATTTGGATTATGCTTTGACAAAAAGATATAAGATCAAAAAACATTGAATGAAATAGGAATAACGAGGAAAGAAGCTACTTTTGGTGCTCAGTGCACTTTAGTGTACCCAAGAATAAAATTTGTAGTAAAATATACTGTAAGATATCAGTCATTT